AAAAACATGTGTGACATAGATTTACTTTATTTGTTTTTGAAGTTTTAAAGTTTAAAAAGCTAATTGTTTTATAAGAACCTCCTTGTGGGTTCATGGTTATCTCTGTTATAAAAAATTTTTCATACAAAATTTAACAGATTGGGGTTTGAGTCACACCCAATGTTTAAAAAAAAAATTGATAATTGTTTTACATTCCATTTAATATATTATTTTAATTTAATTATTAAAATATTACATATATAATTGATCCAATCAATTTTTTTTTTTTTATAAAATTAAAATTTTAAATATATTTATTTTTAATTTTAAATAAATTTATTTTTAATTTTAAATAAAATAATAATAATTTTTCAATTAATATATTGAATCAAAATATGTATTAATAACTGATTTCAAAAGTTTTTACTTGATTTAAAAGTTCCTTTCATATGGACTTAAATGAAACGGCATGTTTCAGTTTACCTGGACAATCTGTTCTCGGATCCTTTCTAGTTATGACAACCTCAAAAGTGCCAGCCCACGCATCACGCTTCGTCAAGAAATCCTTTAGATTGAAAATCTTCTTAACAGTTGCTGGAATTGATGAATGCTCGAACTCTGACGTATGATGTGGCCCCTTTGGTCCATGCAAGACTGCATTTGTTTAGACTCAACATTCTTAGTTACATACTATTTAAATATTAACTATGAACAAAAGATATTCAATACAAAGATATGTGTAAATTAATTAAATGGGGTATGTTTTATTATGTGTAAATTTTGTCAAATTGAACAATTAAGTAGTTAACACTCCTTAACTACTTGCAGCAGAAATAAGATCGAAGGGCATGTTGTTTGTAAATTCAGAAAGTCGAATAAAAGCTCCCTACTTCAATTCATTCAGTTCTAGCTCCTTTAAAAAGTTGAAATCAGTTTCTAAATTAATGTCTAAAACGCTTTTTAAAAAAACTCCATTTGATCTAATTTAAATCTTTATGTATGTATGTATAAAAAAACATTATACAGTTTGCATTATTATTCGTAAAATGGGGCAAAACCCTAATTTATATTAAGGGTTATTCTTTTATTTTTATTTTAATCTTTATTTAAAAAAATAATTATGATATATATTAAATAA